GTTTGGCCTTCTCCTAATCTTTCTTAGTCCAATCGTGGGGTTTGGGTTTAGGGTCCAGGGTTTAGGGTTTAGGGGTACTAAAGCCTAAACCGCTAAGAACTGCGCTGACCACTTGGGACTAGGTTGGACAGCTGCTATAGTTGCGACGGTTCAGCTTGTCCAAGGCATGCACTTCAAGAGCGTGGATTTGGGGTTTTAGTGTTGCGGTTGAGGAGGGATGACGATGCTCAGGCTGATAAGAATAGCAGCGTCGGGGAGGGCCCGCTCAGGGCGGAAATGTCGATTATGGGCCGCACTCTTGCTACTGTTTCTGAAGAAGTAGATGGTTGTCTCATCCGGAACACGACGGAGCACCGTGGAATCTGAACAGAGGGACCTTCAACCCTAAACCCTAAACCCTAAACCCTAGGCCATGCATAGGACATACAGCGTAGACCTTGAAAGCCTTAGAGCAGCATCTTGAAGCTTAAGCCTAATCCAAGCCCGGAGCCGTCCTGAGCTACGGCTTGGGGTTTAGGGTTTAGAGTTTAGGGTTCAGGGTGTAGGGTTTAGGGATAGCCCCAATCCAGGGCACTTTTTAAACGACTAAACCTACTAAGTCCCCGGACTGCCTGCCGGCATTGTGCTTTAGGGAAGGTTTAGGGTTTGGGAAGGCTTTGGTCACTGAGTTGTGCGTGCTTTTCTGGCTGTTGGTTTGTTTTGCACTGCGGATTCTGCCGATCCTGAGAAAAAGGAGGTATGCTTGTGAGACTCGACATTTGTACTGTGCTTGTTCTTCATCTGCTTGCGCACATCATGATGATAGCCGTCATAGTTGCGCCATGGCTACTAATACCGTTGTTCGCGGTGTCGTTTCCAGCATCTGCAAGCGACATAGTGCTTGAGCAGGAGTGGTGCTAACACCGCTGCTTACAACAGCCACTGTCCCTAAACCCTAAACCCTAAACCCTAAACCCTAAACCCTAAACCCTAAACCCTAAACCCTAAACCCTAAACCCTAAACCCTAAACCCTAAATCTGCTCCCACTAAGATCAATGGCTGCCAGAGTGGTCGCAAGAACCGGGTCTTCATGCGCACATGGCTCGACCAGGCCTGACTCCTTCAACCCTGCAACCCAAAGCTAAAGCTGGAAACCCTAAACCCCAAACCCTGAACCCTACACCCGCAACCCCAAACCCTAAACCTAAACCCGAAGCGAAGGCTGGAATTCTATAATCCGAAGAATCGATCCCCACAGTGTGTAGCACTTGGGGTCCGGGTGAGGCCAGGGTGAGTTTCGGGTTCAGCATATACCCTTTCACGTGGGCTTTGTAAAGAATAATGTGACTGCACCAGCTAAGGTTCAGTTAAACCTGGGCTTGGCAGACTGCAGTGCTAACAGCAGCAGAGTCTGCAGGAAATCCTTAAAAGCATGCTTTTGATTTCCATCTTCTCGAACCCTAAACCCAAACCCGCAGCCCTGAACCCTAAACCCAAAGCCTTATCGATTCACAAGGGGTGAGGGCAAACACAAAGAGGAGGTCAAAGCTTCAAGCCTCAAGCGCGAGCCCGAAACCGGAAACCCTAAACCCGAAATCCTAAACTTGATGCTTGTTGGGCTTGGTTCTGGGATCTTGAAGATTGTTTGCCTCAGCTTCATGGCTGGACTTTGCATCGGCTGCATATCTGGTTCACATGCACTACACAAGTCGGTCTTATAGGTACTACTATTCCCAGGGTGCCTTTATGATTAGTACAGCTACTATATTACACACCAGAACCCTGTTCCAATTTCAGAAACGCTCCTATAGTATTCGCCTCTGGGTGGGATGATAGCCTGGGATTACTTTGTATGCAGCTTCCGCAGTGCCTTTTTTGGGCTTGTCAGCGTGTGCCTTAAACCCTGAGGCCCCACATCCTACCACTTGAACCGTGAGCCCCAAACCCTGTGATCAACTTGCTGAATCCAGTCGGTACGGTTTAGGGTTTAGGGTTTAGGGTTTAGGGTTTAGGGTTTAGGGTCGGTGAAAGCTGATTTTGTGTCAGCATTACAGCCATTGGAGTGTATGCCTCTGAGACGGGCTCGGATTCTGCGGGGGGAATCCTAAAACCCTAAACCGTAAACCCTCAGCCCTAAACCCTAAACCCTAAACCCTAAACCCTAAACCCTAAACCCTAAGACCCTAAACCGTAAGAGTCCCTAAACCCCAGGCCCGAAACCCCCAGATCTTTATTGTCAGGTTAAGGTATATGGGGGTTTCCGAAAATAGGGGACCCTAAGATAGTACCCTGGATAGTACTTTCGGAAACTCCCAAAATGCTTGCTTGAAGGATCTTGGGAGCTCTTGGCTCACGAATTCCAGGGTGCTAAGTCTTATCTGAGAATCCGACTGGGTGAACCCCCATATCTAAAACGTCGAGTTGCAAAGCCGATTCCCTGAAACCCTAGCTCCTGTCGCCTCATGTTTTTTTTTTGTTTTGCCACGACCTCACACCGCACAGCCCCTTTTACCAACCCTAAATCCTGAAACCAACAGCCCATAACCTAATAAACCCTTAACCCTAAACCCTAAAGCCCTAAACCCTAAAGCCCTAAACCCTAAACCCTAAACCCGAAAGCCCTAAACCCTAAACCCTAAACCCTAAAGCCTTAAATCCTAAACCCTAAACCCTAAACTCTACATCGGCTTAAACCCTAAACCCTAAAGCCCTAAACCCCAAACCCTAAACCCGAAAGCCTTAAACCCTAAACCCTAAACCCTAAAGCCCGAAACCCTAACACCGTTTTCAGCGGAAGGCCGGCCGCAAGAAGCGTCGCTCCAACGCCCGCAAGGTTGCGGAGTGCACTCGCAGAGCAGCTTAGGGTTTAGGGTTTAGGGCGTTTTTTTTTGGGTTGCAGGTTTTAGGTTTTGGGATTTGGGCTTCAGGGGGGCCGATTACAGTAAGGTTTAGGCGTGCATGTTTAGGGTTTATCTTCGGGCTTTCGGGTCGGGGGTGCAGCAGATAGAGGTTCTTTGAGGTTTAAGCATGATATTCCAGGAAGAAGTGTTGGAAAGACTTGTGGTTCAGCTTGAAGGTCCAGGCTAAGGGTTTGCAAGTTTAGGGGTTCATGGGTTTAGGGTGTAGGGTTTAGGTGCCTTTCTTCTCGTTATCAGTGCCATATGATGATGATGATGATGATGATGATGATGATGATGTGATGATGATCAGGCGGGTCAGCACCGTTTTCAATATCTGTACCGTGATGTTTGCATTGCCAATAGAACTTGCGTTGTTGGTGGTATTGACATTGTTAACCGCGAACTTACTGATTCCGTGCTTGAATGTGCCGGTTTCGGGTAACGGATCATGGTTTCGGAAAGTAGATTTTGGATTGTGGTTGCGTGCAGGGAGACAAGAACATCCCGAACCGTCGAGCAATCCTAAACCCTTAGACCTCAAAGTCCGCAACGCCGCCGGAACTCCAGAATTTCCACCCCAAGCCCCAAGCAGATATGGGACACGATGGAAGGTAGCACGGCAAGGAATGCAGATCACTTGCAATAAGTTTGTAGCATGCTAAGTGATATTAAGTTGCTTAGCAAGACCCGAGCAAAATCAAGCTAGAACTCTGAAGCCCAAGCACCAGAGCATTCAGGAATCCTACAACCCTATGCCGTAATGCCTGAATGTCACAAGATCTGAATGTAGGTTTTGCAAAGCAACACACCAAGCACACGTACAACGGAGAGGTTTCTCCAGCTCATGCACCTGCTGGGTGCCTAATTTCGACCCTAAACCCTAAAACCTAAACTATACAGGTCCCGGGCCTGGTAATTCGTAATCCAGAGCCCTAATCCGTCTCAGCCCCAAACCCTCTACCCACACCCCCTGAACCCTTCAGGGGTTTAGGGTTCAGGTTTCAGGGTCTAGGGTTGAGGGCAACCCTCAACAACGAAATCCTGAACCCTAAACCCAAACTTCCTAAACCCGAACCCCTAAACCCTAAACCCTAAACCCTAAACCCTAAAACCTAAACCCTAAACCATAACCCCTAAACCCTAAACTCCTGAACTCCTAAACCCTGGCTACCTTTCCGGCTTCCCGACTGCACAGGCGAAGGCGGCAAAGGTCTTCCCTCGGCCTTCGGCCGGCCTGCTGCGGGAACGCACCAGTTTGGGTTTAGGGTTTAGGGTTTAGGGGGCTTGTGGTGTAGAATACTCAACCTTTCCTAAAGCCGGGGTAGCTTTAATTCCTCAACCCCCATGTTTTAGGGTCTAGGGTTTGGGGGTTTAAGGCTTGGGGCCTGAGTTGTTTATGAGGGGTTTAAAACGGGCTTTTGACAAGCCTATGCCCCAGACCCTAAATCACAAGTCTGGGTCTTAAACTCTCGAACTCCGAACTAAACCCCAAGCTCTTTATGACGCATCCCAAAATGCCCAAATCCCCTCCAACCCGAGGCTCCGCCCAGTGGTGCATCCGCCGACGCAGCGTTGCTGGGACGAGTTGAGCGCAGTTTTGGACTGTTCCAACATGCAAGGTTTGCATGGACAGAGCCATCGGCCGTGGGTTTCGGATGACCCCAAACCCTAAACCTGAAAATCTAGACCCTGAAGTTGAGTACTGATCCGAACTCTAGGTCTTCGTGCCTGGTCGTCGCAAGCATGAAAGCTCGAAGCCCCAGGCTCCAACCTGAGCCCTAAACCCTGAATCCTAAACACTAAACTCTAAACCCTGAACCCTAAACCCTGAATCCCAAACCTCTAAACCCGAAGCCCAAAAATCCTGACCCCTAAAGCGCAGCCCATAGACTTTTCTGACGTAAGGCATTAAGCCCAAACGAACCTAAAGCCCGAATACCTTAAGCGCGAATTTTGCACCCAGAACACTAAGCCCAACAGTGGTGAAGCCCCAAACCCTTAACCCTGACTTAGGGTTTAGGGTTTGGGGTTTAGGGCCCTTAAAGGAACTCTCAAAGGAAACCTTGATGGCCCCTCAAAGGATCCCTTAAAGGATCCCCAACTGAACTCCAGGCTACAACATGAAGCTGCGCCTGGGCAAGGGCTTCACCTTGGACGAGCTCAAGGAGGCAGCAGTTTGGGTTTAGGGTTTAGGGTTTAGGGTTTAGGGTTTAGGGTTCAGGGTTCAGGGTTCAGGGTTTAGAGTGTAGGGTTTAGGCTTCGGGGTTCAGGGTTTAGGGTTTAGAGTTTAGGGTTTGTGGGTTTGGGGACCCTTAGTGCGAGTGTATTTCGGATGAAGAATCTTTTCCGAACATTGTGGTCGGAAGGTCGGAAAATTGTTAATGAAAAATTCTCTAGGGTTCCTTGTTGTAAATACAATCTGATGTCACACCCAAGAACGCTGATCTAGTTAAGAAGGCTCCGATAGTACTAGCAGTAAGATCTACATCAGTTCAAGCTGGTAGACTAGGTGCCCGGGGGCAACAAGTACGTATCCATTCGGGTGCCCTGCTGTGGTTCGATATTGAAGTGCATGCATGGGAGGCCAAGATCCCGAAGAAGTACGCGAAGACCATCGGCATTGCCATCGACCACCGTCGCAGGAATCGATGCACGGAGAGCCTCCAGGCCAACGTCGAGCGCCTGAAGCTCTACATGTCCAAGCTGCTGCTCTTCCCGAAGAAGGCCGGTGCCAAGAAGGTGCGAAAGGGCGACACCCCACGCTCCGAGCTTCAGAACGTGGCGCAGAACACTCTCAAGGAAATCATCCCTGTGCCCAAGCCGGAGAAGCGCACTCG